CGGGGCGACGAGGCCGACCTTGCGCCCGCTTCTCCCCGCAGAGCAACTGGAACGAGATCGTCGACAGCTTCGACGACATGAACCTGTCCGAGTCCCTCCTGCGGGGCATCTACGCGTACGGTTTTGAGAAACCTTCTGCTATCCAGCAGCGAGCCATTCTCCCTTGCATCAAGGGTGAGGTCGGAGGAAGCGAACTGCTGCTGGGGGCTTTCAGGGGTTGGTGGGATGCCGCCGTGACCACTTCCAGCCCACTTCGGCGCTGTTTGGGCATGACGGGCATTGCCTGGCAATACTGGGGTGTCCTCGCCCAGAAAGGGGATATGATACTGGATCTTCTATCAAAAAGAGAAGCATATTAAAAAAATTCACAAGTTTCCGGGGACCTTGCAAGAAGGGGCAGTTGGGTGAATCCTGGAGAGAGTTTCAGTGAGCCACACGCTTCCTTTCTGCTCTGACGTTTGAACTTTGATCTCTCGTGTAAACTTACGCTAGGTCTGTTTCCTGGATTCAGGCAGCTGCCTGCGCCAGCAGTCGCCCCACAGGATTCTCAGAACAGAGGGGCGCGCCTGGGGTCCCTTCAGTTTCCGATGCCAGCTGTCCCTTATCCTTGGGCCTTTCTGTATTGCCGGGGGCAGCGGGAGGCTTGGCAGATGGGCTGCAGAGTCCCCATCCCCTGCTCATGGGCAAAGAGGCGCCTCTCCGCGTGGTTGCCGTCTTACATCTATCAGGGGGACATCAGCAACCCCATTCATCCCAGTGCAGTGTTCTTCCCAGTGGCTGCTTACTGGTTCATGCTGGGGAAACAAAACGCAGTAGGCCCCGCAGGTGCTGCTTCTGTCTTGAACGGCAGGCGTGGAGTGTTTAGTTTCTGGGTTAATTGCCCTTTTTTTTCTTCCTCAGGTTACGATGTGATCGCTCAAGCCCAGTCTGGCACTGGGAAAACAGCCACGTTTGCCATCTCCATCTTACAGCAGATTGAGCTGGACCTGAAAGCCACCCAGGCCCTGGTGCTGGCCCCCACGAGGGAGTTGGCTCAGCAGGTGGGTCTCTCTCTTTTCCTGGAGACGAGGCAATGAGTCGGAGGGCTGCCGCGCAGGCTTCCTTGTGTGTCTGCTGGTTCAGGCCACTGTAGCGGGCTATGGCTTTCCTTGGCAATGACTGCTGGTGCCAGTTGCTCCCCCACGAAGGGTCCAGCTTCTGCTCTTTTTCCTGAATGTGTTGAGGCTCCTGCTGTGTCAAAGGGGACTCACGAGACTGAGGGGGCTTGGTAATGCTCCTGTGTCTGACTTGTATGCTAGTTGATGCTGGCGCACCAGTCCCTGCTAACTGGGCAAAGAAGCGCCTCTAACTGTGGTGGCTTCTTACATCTAGCAGGGAAAGAGCAACTGATCCTTATTCATCCCAGCACAGCGTATCTCCCAGTGGCTGCCTGCTGGTTCATGCTGGGGAAACAGGGGTGGGGCTGAGACTGTATGAACGGTAGAAAAGTTCTCTATTGAGATTTCCAGCACATCCTCTTAGTTACGCTGGTGCTTGCCAGGGCGTGTGAGAAGGGGGCCTGCTGGCCAGGGCCCTGGTGATGGTTTTCTCTCCTCCTGACAGATCCAGAAGGTGGTGATGGCTCTTGGGGACTACATGGGGGCCTCCTGCCACGCTTGTATAGGAGGGACAAATGTTCGGGCCGAAGTTCAGAAGCTGCAAATGGAAGCTCCCCATATCATCGTGGGGACTCCGGGGCGCGTGTTCGACATGCTGAACAGAAGATATTTGTGTAAGTACATTCTGCTGATCCGTTTGGCGTACCGAGAGCAGGCGTTCTTCCCTCAACCGGACAGTCTCAAAGATACAGCAAGGTTTCAGAGTCTTGCGTGGTTCCCTTTGGTCCTGCTACTAAATCTGTAGGACGGTTGAAAGCTTCACTTCAGCTGTTGCGCATCTCCCAAGATGCGTGCAGCGTTTGGGTTCTCCCGTTCCTCTTGTCAGCGGGGGGGGGGGGGGGGGGGGGACTTGAAGCCCAGCCCGCCCTCCTTCCCTGCTGCTGTTCCGTGATGATCACCCCATGCGTGTCATCTGACCCCATGCCCCAACTTTCCCTTCCGGCCAGCGTTCTGCTGGGCAGGTGGAGGAATCCTGGGGACCAGGGGGAAGTGATCATACCTGAACATGGCCCTGAGACCAGCAGCTTTGTTCTCCTGTTCTGCTTGGCATTTCCTGCCTGAAATGGCCTGCCTGATTTTCTTTTCATTCACAGCACCAAAGTTTATCAAGATGTTTGTGCTGGACGAAGCTGATGAGATGTTGAGCCGAGGCTTTAAGGACCAGATCTATGATATATTCCAGAAACTGAGTGGGAACACGCAGGTAAAGGCACAGCCGTTTGCAAAACCAGCCGTTTCCCGGAGGGTGGGTTTTGTGTCCACCTAGGAGGAATCCGAGGAGGCATTTTAAGAAAGCTGAACCAGTAGCATGGCTGCAAGGGGAGGGGGAAGAATAGCATGAGTAGCTGCTGTGGGCAGAGCAGGAACAGAGTCGAGATTTTGGTCCTTTTAGGTGGTTCTCCTGTCTGCCACCATGCCGATGGACGTGCTGGAGGTGACCAAGAAATTCATGAGGGACCCAATCCGTATTCTAGTGAAGAAGGAAGAGCTGACTCTGGAAGGGATTCGGCAGTTCTACATAAATGTGGAAAGGGAGGTACGTGCGCAGCGTTCTTCTGGTCAAGGGAGAGGTTGGGAGCCTCTTGGCAGCCAGGCTAGGTAGGGTGTGGGTTTGATGTCAGACCTTAAGGAGCTTCTGACTAGATCTTGCTGGTTCCGTTGCCCCCCGCCACTGCGCAAAAACAGTTTGGATCACCTTTTCCCTTTTGCACCCAGATTGCTGCACAGTCCTAGAACCCAGTTAGATTTCTCAAGGGCCGGCAAAAAGTTCAGGGCCCCCTAAACTGAGCCTTGGCTTGGTCCTGCACTGTTCCAGGAGAGGTGCAGGGAGCATCTTTGTTAATCCTTAATCCTCCTTCTTTATAAGGAGTGGAAGCTGGACACTCTTTGCGATCTCTACGAGACCCTGACTATCACCCAGGCGGTCATCTTCATCAACACCCGGAGGAAGGTGGACTGGCTGACGGAGAAGATGCATGCCCGGGACTTCACTGTTTCAGCCATGGTGGGTAGGCTGTCTTTCTGCACTGAGCCCTGCACCTGGTACAGTGGCGGGTTGATTCTGCCATGTCAGAAAGGGGCATGCTGCTTTCCCCGCTGGCTGTAGAAATGGGGCCGCTCTTGAGAGGCCCAGCAAGGCCTGGTTGTTTCCCTCTGCATCCTGCGTGAATTGGGGGGCCGCAGTCTGCTTTGCAGCAGCAGTTTGACATGGGAGGCCTGGTCTTCGGGGATGCTGATGGGGCGTTCGCTTTGTCTCGCCTGCACAGCACGGGGACATGGACCAGAAGGAGCGTGACGTCATCATGAGAGAGTTCCGCTCCGGCTCCAGCCGGGTCCTGATCACCACTGACTTGCTGGTAAGCGCCCCGCCTCCTGGCCCGAAAGGTTTCTCCGCGCTCCCCAAGGGGATTCCCTCTCTGCCTGGCCAGCGCAGTGCCAGCGGCAGACTGTAGCTCCTTGGCACACAAACGGTTGAGGGGCTGCTTGTCTCCACGGCTGGTACCCCCGAGGTCCCTGTCACTTTGCAGCAGCTCACAGTCGGTTCTCTCGCCTGCCTCGGGAACAAGCAGGCGTTGATGCTTCAACCAGCGGTTTCTGCCCCCTGCCCGGCCACTAGCCAACCCCTCTGGGGACAGCTGCTGATGTCAGCACACCTGGCCTGGCGAGGGCCCGGGCTTCTGTTGAGCGCCACCGCCTATTTCTTCCTTAGGCCCGTGGAATCGATGTCCAACAGGTGTCCCTGGTCATTAACTACGACCTCCCCACCAACCGCGAGAACTACATCCACAGGTTAGTAGACGTTCTCAAGGAGCTCGATTGGGGCGTCTCTCCATTTGGAGTTTTTTTAGCTTCTTTCCGCTCGCCCTCAACTCTTCGTCTCCCCCCCAGGATCGGTCGAGGTGGCCGTTTCGGAAGGAAAGGCGTCGCCATCAACATGGTGACAGAAGAAGACAAGCGCACTCTGCGCGACATCGAGACTTTCTACAACACCTCAATTGAGGAGATGCCTCTCAACGTGGCTGACCTCATCTGAGCTGCCGGGGGGGCACTGTGCCACGGCACCCCTTGCTTCTCCCCCCACGCCCCACAGCTAGGCACAGTATTCTCCCGTTCCTGCCCTTTTCTATTTTTGAGTTTTTTGCCTTTTGAATAAATGTCACTTTTTTGGAGGCAGAATGAAAGAAATCCTTAGTGTTTACAGGCGCTTCTCCGTGTCTTGTTTTCCTCCCTCCCTCCTTTGTGACTTCATTTTGTAGCTCAGTTGTCCAAATATTCCCTGTATGCAGAACAGAGGTATCCTTTCGTGTGGGGATCAAGTGAGTAGATCACAGAAGCTAGAATTTCTGGCTGCTTCCTGCCCTGCCTTTCCCAGAAAATAATTTTGTAGTTTTTGAAATAAACCTTTCGAGAGAATCATGGTGCTAATGGGAAAAAAAAAAAAAAGCTTGAGAATCTAAAACCTACCTCAAAAGGTCATGGTTTTTTTTCTCCCTGCCTAAAATTAAACAAATTGCCAACGTGTTTTTCTCTTTATGAAATGAGACCTTCCCTATCACATTTTT